TTGCTGATCCGACAGCTTGTAATTTCATACATCTGCTTTCATTTGTAAAGCACTCACTTATCCTACTCATTCTTTATCTGTTCTGCCTGTTCTTTTTCCTACCCTTTGTTTTTCTTGTTCATATTCAGGTACCTGTTTTTTCTTCTTGAAGTCACAAAGCTGGCATAATGAACACAATACAATGCTCTCCGCCAGAGTTCTTTCAGAGGAGTATAATACGAGCACCACATAGCACATACCCAATCAAACTCTCATACGTAAATCAAATTTAAGATACTGTACTGCTGTTATGATTATGATGCCTTTTTACCAAAGCAAATAAAAATACTGAAAATTGATAGCAAATTCTAAATACTTTTATAAATGATAGGCAGTAAGACCAATGGATTTCTCTTTTGAACAGATCAGTATGTGTTCTATTCTGCAATGTAAAATGCATTAAAAGTACCCTTTCTTTATTTTTCCTGGAAGAGTTCTTTGCTGTCTCACAGACATAGAGAAAAGTAAATATTAAACCAAGCTGGTTTTATTTCAATGGTGCTGACTTGATCCCAACAAAAAAATTGTATTTTCAACCACAAGACATTTACTCTAATTATTAATTTTTTGAAATATATAATAGAGAAGCAATTAAATAATGGGGAAAAAATCAAACTTTTAGGCAATGAACTGTGTCCTCTCTGATCCCTAAAAGTTAAATTTAAAAATGAAACATTACTATGCAAAGAAAGTTAAAAAACTCCAACACTTTAATGAGGAAGGCCTGCTAACTTTTATATTTAATTTATGTGGGTTTTCCCCACATATTCATCTGTCCCTTTTCAGGTAGAAATCTTTACAGAAGAGAACATTTTTGCCAGTGCTCTATTTGCTGGGGAACCTTTGGTTAAAGGGATTACTTTGCTGAAACACCTCTTGGTACCCTTTGTTTCACAGTGATCTGGCATGAGCTGGCAATATGCGCTCACAGCCCAGAACGCCAACCATATCCTGGGCTGCATCCAAAAGCAGCATGGCCAGCAGGTTGAGGGAGGTGATTCTGTCCCTCTACTCCGCTCTGCTGAGACCCCACCTGGAGTCCTTTGTCCAGCTCTGGAGCCCTCAGCACACGAAAGACATAGATAGACCTGTTGGAGCGGGTCCAGAGGAGGGCCACAAAAATGATCAGAGGGATGGAACAGCTCTCGTATGAGGAAAGGCTGAGAGAGTTGGGGTTGTTCAGCCTGGAGAGGAGAAGGCTCTGGGGAGACCTTCTTGAGGACTTTCAATATATTAAGGAGGCTAAAAGAAAGTCAGAGAGCAAATTTTTACCAGGGCCTGTAGTGACAGGACAAAGGACGATGGTTTTAAACTGAAAGAGGGTAGACTTAGATTGGACATAAGGAAGAAATTCTTTAAGATGAGGGTGATAAAACACTGGAACAAGTTGCCCAGGGAAGTTGTGAATGCTCCATCCCTGGAAGTGTTCAAGGTCAGGTGGGATGGGGCTTTGAGCCAGCTGATCTAGTGAAAGATGTCCCTGCTCATGGCAGGGGATTGGAGTAGATGATCCTTGAAGGTTCCTTTGAACCCAAATCATTCTACGATTCTTGTCTCTCAGGACAAAATATATAACACCCAACAGAGTGGCAGTTTTCTTAAAAATGATAGAGAAAATAGCAGTAGAGGAAAACAAACACCCTTTCTCTGAAAATGCATATCAGAGTTAAAATGATTTCTAGTAATCAGCTGTACGATAAAGTTTCTGGAAGGAAATCTGTGCAGTTTATCCAGTCTCAGCACTAGCTGGATGGTGCTGAAGTTCAATGGTGAAATATCTTATACTGTGGCCAGCTGCTTGTAATAAGCTTGGTGCTTCTGTACCCGTGCTTTTCCTTCACTAATTGGCTTGGCAAGAGTCACATCTGGATCCAACTTTTATTGTGAACAAGTTCTCACTTCTCCAAAGAAGAATGCTATTGGTATTTCTAGGGAAAGGAGTAGAGAAACTCCTCTACGTAGAGAAAGTAATCTTACTGCCTTTTGATTAATATTTGTTATGCAGTATGCAGAGGAACATCAAATTGCTTTCTTGACTTTTCTCTGTTGGTCCAATAACCATTCCTGGATGCAATCAGCAATAATAGTGGTGGAAAACATGGAAACTAACTGTACCTGTCCTCCATGAAGTGCTAAGTTTCTGCCACGTCATTTCTTTAAGAGTTTAATGTTTGATGCTACCAATCCAGAATCCAGATGACTTCCTAACCCAGGAAGGGTGGGACTACTTCCCCCTGCTGCTTTACACATGGCTATGTTCTCTTTAATAGGCCCTAAATTGAGTTAAACATAGATAACATGAACATCTTGCACTATAACAAAAATAACACATCAGTTCCTCTAAGAAGAGGCAGTGGTCCTTTATTTGCCTCAAAATATTCAGAGTGCTTTTAGATAAGAACAAGTATATCCTAACAGTGGCCATAGCTAGTCTTCAAGTGGGAACATGATAAAAATATAATTATTCTATAATTATTCTAATATATCAGTCAAAATTAGCTCCTGGTGCAATCATGGTGTTAGTTTACTATGTAAAATATAGACAGGTCTTCCAGGTTTGTTCATATTTGTCCTTCTTAAAAGGAAGTATAGAAAATACGTATATTTTTGCACCATACCCTTCCCTCCATTCTCATTTCATCAACAACTGCATATATGCCCATACTGGTGAAAAAGAAGTTACATATTCATGTATCTGATTTGACAGATTTAAAAAAAAAAGGTTGGTTTGCATGAATTTTTCCAAAGAAACACAGAAAACAATTCATTAAAACTCACAGTTACTTCGGTACACAACCCTACACTTGGCTTGTGAGGATTATCACTCCACGGATAAAGCCCTGCTTGGATACAGATGTAAAACTGAACAGAGCAGTTTACAGAATGGCTGCGTACATGATTATGTATCTGTAAGCTCTAGGGTGTATAATCAATAATCTAAATGCTCCTTTCTTGAATAATATATCATTTGAGTAATGTAGGATTCCAAAACTAAAATAAAAATAAAATGAAAAATATAGTAGAAATAATGCTTTCCTAAAATCATGTCCTTGAGAATATCATAATGAAAGGAAAAAATCCATCAGTTCCCAAACCAGCAGTTTCTCTCCCATCTTCAAATGCGTTGATATAAAAGAATCTTCTTTTAACTTAAACTTTGAAATGCTTTCAGTACTGTATTATTATCATTGCTTATTGTTTGACATTTTTATAACATAATATATTAGGAGTTCTATTATTATTCTTATTGTTTCCAAGTTTTTAAACTGAAAATTTCCAAACCATTTATTTATAGATTATTAACATCACTGGATGTTTTGAGCTAACATTTCCTTTCACCAAATAAAGAGAAGCTTTTAGAAACTTATTTTATTTGAAAACATTTTAGAAAATATTACAACACAACTTTGAACTCCATTCAAAGCTCGAATATTATCAGCAATAAAAAAAAGAGGAAAAAAGGAAAACTTTTCTATTACAGATATATATGAAAAGCTTTCTTTTATCAAATCAAGAACTTTGGAAATCGTTACAGTTTGAGCTTGACTTCAAATATGTATTCAGCTTTTCAGTATTTATGACTGGGTATTTTGTTTCACCATTCTGTTATGCTTAGAGTAACTAACTAGGTCCAACTACAGAACTAAAAGTTATTTATTAGAGAAACGGTATATGCATGAAGTATTAGCTGTCCTGATGAGATGACTTTGCATCTCATTTGGGCAAACGTACTCCACTTTAAAGCTATATACTACTGTACTTATTATGCCTGGGGATTTCAGAGAAAAGAGGGAGACTGGTTTCATACAGATGCCTAGAACACATTTTTAGTTACCTCATACTAATACTTGTACATGAGCACCACCAGAGCAAAAGAAAAACCCAGAACAGCCGTCTCTCCCCAAAACGAGAGAGGGTGCTTACAAACACAGTTCTAAAGTTTTTTAAAAGGGAAATGATGACACAAAATAAAATACTGACGTTAAGAAACATTTTTACATGCATCTGCACTACGTACCTATAGCAAAAACTTAAAGATTATTTCAGTTTACTACACATAAATAAGCCAGAGTTAGATCGCAGAACATAATGACCCGGAATCAGATCATCCTGAAACAGCAGCACTAATTGTGAAACCTCTAAACGGAATTAAATGTCCACTTTTTTCAGAGGTACGTAAGGTAGCTCTATATGCTGCATGTTCATTAAAAAGTAATTAAAAAAACCACATGAAGGCAGGCAGTGGAACGACAGTACGTGTAAAGTATATGCATGTTATATTTTCAAGATTGGGCCCTAAAATAGGAACCACAGATGTTGAAAAATTCATGTGTCCTAGAATACAAAATTGTGTCAAATATGTGACCTTGTTATAACCTAAAGCTTACAGATTCTATATAATTAACTCTGAACAGCATGCTACAGAATTCATATCTTTAATGACAGACATGCATCTTGCTACAAAATGCATACTTTGCTGTGGCAAAGTTGTACGCAGAATTTTTTTCAAAATATGATGGGACAGAAATATATGCCTCAATTAATCATTACGTAGCTTCCTCCTCCCATTCACAATTATATAAGCTAACAACATTTTTGTGATTTCTTGTTTGTCCCAACTTAATGTATTTATTGGTCATCGCTAACCCATAAGAATTCACCTTTGCACATATGCACATATTTCAAGCATACTAAAATAAAGTAAAATGATAATTTTTTAAAGATGCCACTCTTGCATAGAATAAACATATTTTGTAATTGTTACTCATCTCTGCATTTACATCTCTTTCAAGAAATATCTTCGAAATTATGAGTCATTGTCTTGTGCATTTTCACATTTCTCACAGCAGAACAGCATAAAAATATTTCCAGTGTCAAAGGAAGGCTTTACTGAATTCATCAGCTCAGTCAGAAGGTGGAGCTCTACACATACCTGTATCACTCACTGCCCATAAAAACTGCAACTCCGTATAAAAACACTGAACTACTCGGAAAACAAACCCGCGTTTAACTCCAAGATACAATTTGTTTCATAAATACAGCAGACTGCGTCTGATAATAAATGGCTCCTCTCCTAGCATTTGGAATGATTTTCAGTATGTTAAAAGTCCTCTTTTTCTTTGAAAACTAGGCTTGCGTACTTTTTAAAAGATTGTAAGATAGTTGATACTTACAGGCATCTCTAATATATAACAACATGGCTACAAAAATGTAGTCAACTAAATTCAGGGTGATACTGTCAGCAAAGAGAGCATCCCAGACAACCAGAAGGTCCTGAAGTGGGAATTCACGTCCAAACAGGAGCCTTACCCATCGCCTGAAAAAAAAGGAAAAGACGTGATTTGTATTTCTCTGTTTTGCCAAGTACAGTAAAGGCAGGATACATATCCCTGGGTCAACTACAATCCAAAACATTCTACCAGAAAATTTTGCAAAGCGTGAAGGGCTGTGATAATCATGTGACTAATTGCATTCGGGGAAATGTTACTGCACCTACATTAAAGAAGTTATACATTACAGACTGTAGAAGCTTAACTGACTAATATTATTACGTAGGTGAACCTCAAAGGACAAAACGTGTCAATCCGATATACCGTATTTTTGAGCATTTAATGTGATAGTGATCCAAGGCAGAAAGGGAGAAAATACCATGCAAGAATAGACTGGAACAGCAAAAAGAGGCGGGTGAAGGCAGTGGTTTATGAGAGGTCCTGAAAAGCCTGGTCAAGTGAAAGCCAGTTCAGAGGCAGATGCCGAGCAGCACTTAAAATGGACCAGGTCACACTTGTTCTGAAGAGGCTTCCTCCCTGTTATTGATGAAGTGTTTTCAGCTCCATATAAAATATGCTATGGATGCTACTCTGATTAAACTTAATTTGAATCTTACCGTATTTAGTGATAATCTGCATGTAGACTATATCATTAATACCTGTTCTTATCTGTGCTGTTATTATACCCAGCAAAATGTGAAAATCAGTCTTCTTAAATGTAATACTTGCTTGAGACTGGAAGCTTGAGATGCAGTAGAAGAAAACTATTTCTCAAGATTTGTTATTTCCAGTTCTGGCTCTTACACTGACTTACGTGCTGACCTCAGGAAAGGCCCTGTCATTTCCTACTCCAGACTCTAGAACAGATTTGCTAGCTTTGTACCTTTTTAGGCATCATTGTCTAAGGTTACCTCTGAAAGACCTAAAGACTAGTTAGTAACGTTAATCCTGAAATAGTTATTACGAAATGGACTTTAAAATAATGAATTGCATTTTTAGCTGGGATATGCAAATTACTACGCACATAGAATCTGTTTATTCAGTGGCAAGAAAAGAATGATTGCAAATTTCTGCTAAGCAAATTAAGTCATTCTTTAAAGTTCACAAAAATTTCTCAAAAGGCAACTAGAAATTTCATCAAGATTAGTTTCACTTGTAAGAATTCATGTTTAACCACTTTTGTCCCAGAACTCGTTGCTGGTTTAAGGCATCTGGTTTATTTTTGCCTGATTCCAGTAATAAAAGTTCATTTCTAGACAAATAAATTCCAACATGTCAGTTGGGCACAAGCTTTTAAAATAGCAACAATCTGTACAAAAAGACTCTCTCTTCTAAAAGAAATTAAAAGGGACTGTTTTGTGAGTCAAGGTTTTGTTCACTTAAACTTTTATTCTCCCTGCCACTGGAATCATATGTATAATCTGCAAAAACATCCGTTACAGATTTAGAGATCACTGCACAGAATTTTATTCCCTTGCAAGACATGTTCCCTTTTAAAACTGAAAATACGTGATTTCAAAAGACAGCATCATCTCATCCTTATATCAAACATTTACATTCTAAGGTCTTGTAACGTTTTATGTTAGCATAGTAATTATAAAAGTCGCAATATTATCTACGACAAAATATAAACTCTGCGTATTTGCCTCCCTGATCAAACCCCTTTCCTATGAAGACTTAGTTTCAGGCCTCAGAAAGAGGATTCAGAAGAAGTGTTAACACAAAAGCAAGGCTTAGCTAGTGCATTTAATACCACGTCTGTTCTATCGAAGGGATTTTACCATATAGTGGCACGTTACCCTACAGTGCCTAGCCTACAGGAGACTATTATCCTATGGTGACACAAACATTACCCAAACTCTGTGTGAAGCCTATTACTTGCATTAACAACCCCTCCCACCTGTAAAACCACAACTTTCAAGTTATACAAACTGTTAGGCGAGAAATTTCAGCTAAGCTTGAAGCATTTGAGCTGACTTCGCTTGCAACTACCCAAATCTCATTCAGAAGCCTTGCTAAAAGTCTAATACACTTCAAGGGAAAAAATACACCATGGTGTAATGGGATTTGTTATTAGTCTTTTATTAGAAACCTCTTTTGCTTCTTTACTACTTCATTATGCAGTGTTAATCGTTTGTAGATGCAGGTTTATTCTGCTCAAGCAGAAGTCATTCCTTTTTTTCTCCAGCTTTTATATTTTCTCCTGGGAAAATTAAATCTCAGTCCCCAGAGGTATCACATTTCACAGATGTAGACTGCTGAAGAACAACTGGACTTCCTTTTGCAACCATAATATTACAGTTAATTGTTTGAACCTTCCTGTCTTAAAGGGAGTAAGCAATTCATACTGTTATAAATGCATACATATAGTAACTGCTCTCTTATTTTCTTCTGCAGCATTTAGCTCATAGCATCTATAAACCACGGACCCTACTGCCTATGAACCACGCTGCCATACAGCAGGA